ATCTACAACAGACACTGACTCGAATAGGACCTCTTCGACGCTGTCTTCAACTACTTTCCCATCACGTTCAGGCCCCCACCAGACGATCCCTATGGCATCACTGCCCAGCATCTCAAAGACCGTTTGCGAGAATGCATCTCCTCCACTGCAGAATTCGCTCCGCACTCCTTCCCCGCGCTTCTCGACAAGCTGGACTCAACTTCTATGAATACCAAGGTATAGAATAGTACATCCAACTCATATCTGCGACTAACTCATCCCAGAGAGACGTACTCCAAACTCTGACTGCCTGCATCAGGGATTATGGGCCGCGGACGGTGTCGCTGTATGCTGTGACGCTGTGGGACGCTCTCAAATTTGAAGTCCTTAGTTCTCAGGAAGATGACCTTGCTGAAGAAGCACTGCAAGCCATTGCAAAGATTGCAAGACAACTGTCGCAAAACACTGCTGGATCGCTCAACGCCTACATAAAACCCATTACCAAGGAATGCAACGAGCATCTGGAGGATGCTCCAACCAAGCAATCGGCATCCGCCGGTAGAATCCTCCATGCGACCGCTAAAGTGTCACCATTGGTAGAAGACGCTGTGCTGAGTGCAGTGTTGCCGACCCTATTCACGCTCTACCAAACAGCTGACAATATGGCCAAGAGAAGAGGCCTCATTGAGGTGCTTGTCCAGTTGATCCGAGCCGACATCGATGTCTACGGGCAGTGGCGACTTGTAGACAGCAATGTCGTCCATGCTGGAGCACGCACCCCGGACACTGCGCTGCTAAAGTTCAGAGATCAAGCTCTGGAGGTCATGAGCAACGGTCTTGCGACCGCTTCTGTCAAGGAGGTCTCTTTCCGTTTAGCGGCACTTGATGGCCTGTTGCAGCTCTCCAAAGCCCGACTTGTCCTGGACGACGATGAAATTACGAAGGTGGTTACTTTCTTCCACGATGTCGTCATTTCCGAAGAGTCGTACGGAAAGGACGATGTCAAATCTGCAGCCATTACAGGCCTTGTGGAGATCGCACATCAAAAGCCGCAGCTGGTCATCGACAAGGCCTTCCCAGCATTCATGGCCGAGCTACCAGACAAGGACACAGAAGGCTCTGATGCGTATGTGCCGGTCCTTGAGGCTTTTGCCAAGTTGGCCAGCGAAGAACACATATTTTCTACCGTCGTCCTCAGGCTCAAGAACAAGATAAACAGTGCTGTTCACCAGGGCTCGTCAAAGCAGTACATCATTGCGCTCTTGTCTGCCTTACTTTACGCCTTTTCCCAGGGTGCTGCCAAGCTTCAGGGCACTGATGATCATTGCCCGTACTTTGACGACATCATCGTACCCCTCCTGGCCCAGATCCAAGTCCCCGGTCCTTCCCCATTCGACGATGAGATCGCCTTGGATATCATAGGCCGCCTCTTGAACAAGATTTTGCGGGAACAAACTTCTGAATTCCAAAAGTCTCAAGTTGTCCCTGAAGTCTATCCTCTTCGAACTGGGCAGGCTCTGGCACAAGTCCCGCCCTTCAAGGTCGATGTATCGGCGGAGCAGCGGCGGAAACTGATTGTTTCGACGCACATTCTGGCGGCAATACGAAAGGACGTGCCGCCACCCGCGGAGCCAGAGGATCTTCTCTCAGCTCTCATGTCGATGGCGGCACTGGAAGATTTTTCGCTGCGCGTACGCCTCGCAATAGGTTCACAAATCGCTCTTGTGGTGAACAAATTCATCAAGACTCCGGATCTCAAGACTACGATTGGCGAGATCCTCTACAACCCAACCAACCTTGTCTCCCCCGAAAAGCTCTCCAACGCCAACATCCGCATCCTCTTCTCTATCATCAAAGGTCTTGCGCTGCGAAACGCACCCATGCTTAGCACAGTCATGCCCTCGCTGCTGGCTTTGCTCGTCGACTCAAAGCATGGACTGACTGTCGCACGCGGCTTTACTTCTCTCCTCGCTCCCAACGAGATCCTCTCGAAAGCAAACCACTGCACCATCTCTGGACTGCACAAGCAAAAGACTTTCAACCTTTTGGTTCCAGCAATTGCTACGTCCTTCAAATCTGCCGATCCTTCGACAAAGACGAATTACCTCATTGCACTTTCGGGAATTGTGCGATGGGTACCCTACGAGATTATCGAATCAGAACTGCCAAACCTCAACCCTCTTCTACTTCAATCTCTGGATCTTCCGGATGCCGTCGAAGATGTCAAGCACGCAACCATCGACACGCTGACTGCCGTGCTGACCCACAACCCTCGCGCGCTGGAGGAGCACGCATCGAGTCTGATTTCGCGGCTGCTCAACACGGCGACCGCTTCTATCAAGAATGCAGACGGAAGCCCCAAAGTCAAAACGCCAGCCAACTCCGCAGCCGTCAGGGCAGTCTCGCTCAAGTGCTTGGGTTTGGTCCCTGAGAAGCTACGGGGCGAGATTGTGCTGCCGTTCCGGAGGCAGGTCGTCAAGAAGCTGACTGCCGCGCTCGACGACGGGAAAAGAGCGGTCAGGCTGGAGGCGGTTCGGTGTAGGGCAAATTGGTTGGGGCTCGACGAGGTTGGCGATGATGACGAGTGATTGATTGCGCCGCTTGGTTCGACAACTCATGAGACGAAGCAGTCGAACTTGGACGCTTCCTCTGTCAATCCGACCCATAGCACCAATCTTCATTCGTTGCTTTCATAAACTTTGGTACAATCCCTCTTTCGGTAAAACATCATGTTGGTGGGCGATGAGCAGAGCGCTTTGGACATGCGTTGGATGAAAGGCATGGGCCTTCTAGGCAGTGACACATATTGCGATGGCGTACTTAGAGTCGGACGAGAGACTTGAAGAATACATAGAATTTCCACTGACCCGTCGCTGTCAGCGACGTGCACCATATTGTGATGCGTGCAGGAAGTCTTCGGGTCTGCAGACACAGGAGCTGTGCTGTCCGCCTGTAAGGCCAAGAGTTTTGTTGGAGATTCTCAAAAGCGGGACAAATGCCGGCGGTTCTTCTCGAAAAAAACGAAACCAAGTTCATCGAAAGAGCGCATACCTTCCGTGTCCAAGATGGCACCTTCACCTTGCGGGAGGGACTTGTGGCACCAAAAGCTCCTGCCCTAAGCAAGCACTGGGCTACAAGGGGCATCGATGGGTAGCCAAAGACTAGAACCAAGCAACAATCTATCTCACCAACAATCTTATCAAAACGACTAACAGTCGACAGATGGCCCGGTATGTATTCCGTCGAAACTCTTGTATTTGGGGCTACATGACTTGTACCTCCTACATTGACTGCCGGATTGCAATGCTAAGACTGAACGATTACGCAGATGGCCAAGACCAGTCGTTACCTCAAAAACATCTTCAAAGCGGTTCGCTGTATTCTATGTCGGACAGAGACGGATTCGCAGGAAACCCAATCGTTGGGGTCTCCTCAATTGTCAGAGTTTTCTCAATCGTCAGGGTCTTCTGAGTCAGATTCCTCATCGACAGAGTCCCCAACACAAGCCGTCCAGGCTGGGGAGCCCAAATCAACTTTGGAGTCCAGCGAATCGTCAACAACGGCGCCGATTCTGAGACTTCCACCCGAAATTTTGCTCCACGTGGAGAAGTTTCTGAAAGATGAAGACAGCCTGGCGTACCGTGCATCGCACTGGAGAATGCGCTACATGAATTCAAGGTTACCGCTGGTGCTTTACAGCTTACGGGGGGTCCAAGAGATGGCCATACGGCTTCGATGGGACAACGTCTGCCGATTCGTCGAGGCAGAGAACCCCGAGTCGACGTTGCTTTTCTGCGCATTCTGTAATGAGGTGCATCCTCCGGAGGAATTCCTCCGAGACCAGCTCTGTAACAACGCCTGGAACCGCGTCTGTCTGCGCCAACGCGTGTATCGATTATGCGAGCATCTCAATCTGGGTTACCACCGGATGCGCGCCTTAAGAGACGGCGGCCCGGGCACCGCTTGCCTCCCATGCGCCGAACAAGCCGCAGGTCCCCTCATCGAGTTCCGCCAGCGACACGGTTATGGGCACATCCTCTCGCGCGCCGGGGACGAGATCACCCACACCTGCAAGTACATAGTGCCAGACATCGATAGCCGCCTCTGGCAGCCGCTCGATCGCATGCGGGACCAACTGGCAGCCCTCAGGACGCCCATCTGCCCGCACGTCCGGTTCTGCGATGTAACCTTGAGGGACGGGCTGTCGGGGCCGGCGACTCTGGCGGTCCAGACTTATGACCAAGGAAGAGTCGAGGGCAGGTGCAACAACCCGGCCTGCAACGCCGCATTCACTTTCCGCTAGGAACAGGGAAAAAAGGAGTACTCTCAATACGTGTACATTATCCAATTTGAAAACAAACACAAGTTCAAGCTTGAAGGGGGGACGGGGAACAGTTGGGTGACCAACACTTGGCCGAACCACAGCATGATGCAAGTATCAAAGAGGCAATACCGCAGGAGGTTCTTCTTAATGGGCCCTGGACATGGACGCATTCCATTCGTTGTGTAAAAAGGATAGGGAGGCGGGAGATCAGAGCTTGACAGCAGAGTTCGCAACACACGCGGAATTTGATGTCTAAGTCTTGGAGTTTGAATGCTCTTGAGGTCTGCGGTGTGTACCAGCTTGCATACTGCCCAGCAAGTGCCCATTGAAGCGCCAAAAGCTCTCTATCCGCCTTCCTGCTTTTATCGTGTGCGCCACGAATTTTAACACTAGGTCTAGCACGAGCAGCTCTTAGCCACCCGGGTAGACAAACGCAGTCCTATGCCACTATTAATGATTTTTTTTTTTTTTTTTTTTAATCGAGCTATCCCGCTACGACTTTCCTCCCGACAATAAAGGGACCCGGCGACTCTTCCCCACCTTATTAGCCGATTGCAGCGCCCAGACCGCTCTCCGGCCCTTCTTTTTCACTTTGGCGATCTCGGTTCGAAAACTTTTCAAGGTTTACTTACTAACGCAGACATTATTTGCAATTTATATATTTTAAAAAATCATTTTCTATGAACTACAGCAAGCTGCGTTGGTGGTTTAGTGGTAAAATTCATCGTTGCCAAGAACGTGATGAGTAGAATTGAGATTAATCTCAGTATCAATTCAATCTCATGAGGAGAACATCGATGAGCCCCGGGTTCGATTCCCGGCCGACGCAGTTCTTTTTGCCTTTTTTGGGTGTCCGAAGAGCTTGTGATGATGTCTGGGGATGATGTTGTTTTGACCGTGGCGTGGCCTGGGAGCGATTTAGTGAATGGGGGAACTCTCGGGCGCGAAGACTTGCTGAAGGATGGCGGAATAGAGAGGGATGGGGTTAGTGGACGTATCGAGAGCGTGTTTCTTTTTGTCTTTTGCAGAGTTGCGTGGATGATGGGGTTGCAGTGTCGGCGTTGCTGGTGGGGAAATTTGGCGATGCAAGGGATTCGGGGAAGACCCTTTCGTGGCGTCAGAAGTGGAATGATGGATTTGACATTGGCAGAGGTACGGCGGTGGATTGCAAGAGGAATGAGCTGATTGACGGCGGGCTAGATGCGTTGTCTACCCGCAGTGTTTGGACAGAGATTTGGTGCTCGAGCTGTGAACCACCCATGCGATGTGAAAGTGACTGGTGGCTTCTTGCGAGACGGCAGTTGAGATTGAGCCAGGCAACGGCGATGGAAAGATGCTTGAGCGCTAGCTCGGCTTGTCTGTCTATTCGAATAAAATCGAGGCAACTTCCTTCCCGTCACCATGCACATACGTACAAAATACGGGATCAGGGAGGGAGCATTCATGAGCTTCAGCATGAAATAAGTGGGAAGCAAAGCACTCATGTTATCTTGGGCCCAAGACCTCTGGGCAATTCAGATATTTGGTAAAGACGGGAGTAGAAGCGTTCAAGCTCTATCTTGAGAGATTGATTCTTCAAGCCTCGATAATATTTCTAGAGATGATTCTATCTAAGTATTCAATGTGCCAAGTCTAATGGATATCTCCTTTGAGCCTACTTACTCTACCAGCACTGATATCGAAACTCTTTGTCATGTCTTTATTTGTTGGTGATGCCGACGCCTGGCTCCACACCTCCCATCCTCGCCACCTCTACCAGATTCTCGCAAACCAACTCCACGTCCTTGCTCTTGATTGGGACGCGGTGGTCGCCGTCCCATTCGACAACGATCCTGCGGTCCTTGGGGCAATACCGCTCACTCAATCGCCTGTGCAAGTGCAGGCCATTGTCCTTCAAACCGTGCACATGAAGCGTGGGTATCGTGAGCTTCCACTCCCTGGGCACGTCAACGAGTCCCTTGGTGCCATCATCGCACTCGCCGGCATTTTGGAACCACTCGCACTCGGCGCCAGGGGCCAGCGAGACCAGCGGGGCGCGTCCAGCCATCAAGACGCCAAAGCGCCAGTCCTGCTCCCACAAGACCGTCTTGACACCCTCGCCTTCGAAACCCTGGATTTCTTCATCCCCACCACCCCGCTCCTTTATTGCTCGCCGCCGCTGCGACTCAAACAGCAGGCTCGCTGCAACCTTGGCGCCCTGGCTGAAGCCCATGACGCCGACCCACGCGCCGTCCGCGCCCAAGCGGTCGTCCTCGGCCATGGCCGCCTCCATCTGGTACCGCACCTCTTCCACGGCGGTGCCTGCATCAACCTCGGCGTGTTCGTGCGGCAGCCAGCGCAGCCAGCGGCGATAGGGGCCTAAATCGGCGTATACGGGCACGATGCCCGGCCCGGCCGAGCAGAGAAAGGGACCATCGGCGAAGACGAGCCGGAATGATGTGCGGAGGCGGTTGAGGAGGGCGCGAGATTGGAGACGAAAGATTTCGGCCGTCACGCCGCCACCTGCGCATTTCTTGTAAGCAGTGGTCTCGGACTTCGAACAATGCAAGCCGCGAGTCTCGACGGGGGAGAGATTGGGACAGAACAAGTCGGGGGAACAGATCAATGGGCGTGCGGTGGGACCTGAAGCCCCACGTCTCCAACCCCAGATCCGCAAGCGGGCAGTCGGGGTATTCGGTCTTGAAGTCGGCGCCTTTCGAGAGACCAAGTTGCTTCCACTCACCGTGTAGACACAGTATCCGCGGGAGATGCAGCGTCGAGTCGGGCGTGGCCGTGGTACCCATGGTTGGCTCAGCGATTGACAAGGTGTTGCAGCAATTTGCCGTCCGACTTCGAACCGATGTGCCTGAGCGGTTGTACGCCAATCCTGGAATGTGGTTGCACAGCAGGTCGACGCTGAAAGATTGGAAGACGGAGCGCTCAAATAGCTTGGACCCAAAGGAATGGCTGCAATTGTCGATATGTCGTCTCTTTCAGTAGCCGTCACAGCAGAGTGTCCGACAAAGATGATCAGGCCAGCGAGCAATGCAGCAAGGTGGAAGTTTGACAAAGAGGTCCATGGCCAGCGACGTCTTAAGTAGCAAGCAGCCTAGCGGCGGTGCTTAGCCAGGCGTGCCCTGCATTCCCATGCTGAGCTGAGCGGTACTGGACTGTCAGCTGTAGGTAGATCGTGTGTCGGACTCCGAACCATCGCCTGCATTGCCCTCGGCCCCCCGTGCACTTTAGTCATGGCCGCTCCACGTGTGCTGCTGGCTGGCTGCGAGAGGCAACACACAAGCTGTCCTCGTCGTACTTGAATGCATCGCCGTGTTGGGTTGCTGGAACACCTGCAGGGCTGAGCTGAGCTGACCTGTCCTTATCTGACCTGACACCGCTGCTAGCTAGCATGGTCGCGCGAGTATTTGTATTCACTAGGAGCATCCGTCGAGAGGGTTTGAAGCACCGACAAGGACGGGAACACCAACCTACCAGCCATGACAGCAAGAGCTTAGAATTTTCAGACAAGCTACTCCTGAAATTTCTCATGAGATCCCCCAGGACGAGTCTCTGTGCTGACGCTGTGCTTGTAGAGCAACCCACTGCGGTCTCGATCACCTTCTCTGTCCCGGAAAGCAAACAGTCCACAACGCCGCCGACCGAAAAACATGGACCCTTCCACTCTATCGCCTTTGACCTCTCTATTCCGTGGTCATCAATTTCTTAAAACTTCTTGTGATGAGGTCTTTCTTTCTTGTACTGTCCTTCTGCTTCTTCTCCATTCAGTGATCCGCTGAGACTCCATACTTATCTGGATGGACATTTTCCCGTCTTCACACCAGTTCAAGCATCTCTTTCCCTCCTACTTGACGTCTTGAGAAATTCCCATTTAGCCACTTTTGCGCAATCTCTCAGCTCCACTTGCTCACACTAAAATCCAATTGATCGTCGACTCTCAAAATGAGACTCGAAACCAAGGTCAATATCGCTCTCTTCATCGCTGCAATCTACGCGGCCACAAACCTCCTGCCAGTTTCCATTCGCTATGCCAACGAATTCATACACGCCATCAAACCCGTTCTGTGTTCCGCTTGCAGTTGCAAATGCCCATATTCCACCTACGACTTCATGGTCTACTAAAACTTCGGGAACGGCCCACAGTGGTACCTTGGAGCACCAGAGGGCTGGATATTCACTCCCAACCTCGCATGGGAGTGCTGCAAGCACCAGATGTAGTTCGCTGTGGCGCTGGTGGTGGCGGACATGGCGGAGGAGGACCACAGGATCAGAACCAAGGCCATGGGAAAATTCTGGGAAGACGCCAAAGGGAGGAAGCAGTGAGGGAATCTTGGACATGAGGCTGTTGCTGGTGCGAACGTTTGCCAGGCCGGAGGAAAGCGCGGGAAGCGGTGACACTGTCTCTCCTTTTCCATCATGTCTCACCTTGTTGTATTGACCTGGTTCTATCGCCATCCATTGTTTCCACTCACCTCTTCTTTACTTTTGTATCTGGTCAAATCCGAAATTTCTTAGAATATTCCTCTCCATTTCACATCCCTTAAAAACCCCTCTACACATACATCACAACACACAGCAACTTCTTACAACCTGCATCCACGTCCTCCACGTCCACCACTCCAGCACAGGTATCAACAATCAAGAAGCGTCAGCCATGCGGCTCCTCGACGTCCTGACCGACATCGCCTCCTTCGTCGTCATGGTCTACGCTGCAGTCATCACAGTCCTCTGCTTCAAATCAGCGCGTCAACCCCCTCTGCCGATCATCAAAGAGAACAACACGGCCGCCAGCCACTACTTTCGGCACCCGATCGTCATCGACGGCTTGATCGGGACGCAGCTTAGGCTCGTCCATGTCGATGAAGGCAACGGCACGAACCCACCGGTCGCGTCGTCTTCGCTCTTCTCGTGCGAGACAACTTGCTTCATGGGGTCTCGTCCTCCTGCCCCTACTGCTCCCGCTGCTCAAGAAAAGGTGAGCGAGGGCGTTGCCGCTGCTGGCTCGACGAAGGAGTGCAACTGTAGCTGCAGCACTGCAGACGTAGCCGACGGCGATGAAAACGGCAACGGCGGCGACAACGCTAGCGACGAGGAGAGCATCGGCTGTGACTGGGAGGTCAAAGATTTCATACGCTTTCATCCCGTTGATTGGCTGGGTGATGCGCATCTCCGACTGCCGCTAGGATACCTCTCGGGTGGTCGAGCCGCGGCACATGCGTGTCGCAAAGAACGCGAGGAAGCTACAAGAATCTTGCTCGGAGAGGGCAAGTGGTCGGATGGCGAAGAGCGAGAAAGATTCATGGAGGATGTGGAAACAGAGATTATTCAAGCGGCGCGGAGGAAGGACGACGAGGACTATATTAGACGTCATGGTCAAGAGGCGTTTGATGAGCGGGAGAAGAGGTATAATAAGAAAAAGTACGGGATTGTAGAGTCGCAGAAAGGGTGGTTTGGACAGTTGACCGAGAGTTTTTGGGGGAGTGGACAGTGAGTGCGAAAAGGGGACAATCACCTGGTTAAGGCGGATAGAAGTCAACCGTCTCATCAGATACCATGGACTGCGCGTTATAGGTAGTAAGGAAATGGAACCTTTGCGTGTCAAAAGAGTCCACACTTCGGCTATACGAAAATGTCAAGCTGCGGGCCATGCCTCTGTGAAAAAGGCGAGGCACAGAAAAGAAAGCGAACAACAAACCTACACATACAGAGCAGCAGGGAATCGCCCAAGCAAGAACCCACTCAAGACACTCACTCACCCTCGAACTGTCTCACAACAACGCCTGCCCACCCAGACGCGAAGCCCCTCCCACGTTTGCTCCTCTCACAATGTCTCTC